ACACAAAGTCGGTCACTGAAAGGGTGAATGGGAAATATGGGATGGAGTCGTGCGTGCCCAGTTCACGAACTACCGATCGGTCGAAAGTTGAGTTGCTTCCTCACGGTGGCCTCAGTCTGTCTCGTTGTAGTACGTCCTGCAGTCCCATGGGACCGTGTAGAGGAATGTTATCGACGGCGCGCAAAGCAAGTGCCCACGACGACTACGATGCTTTGTCTAACGCTGTTTACCTGATCCGTCCGACGCCCGGTTTCTGCGGTATGCAGCGGGTGATTATTTACTTTCACGGTTCGTCGTGTGGCCAACCATTCCTGAACTTTTCTCACCTGGGGGCTGAGGCACAAGTCATGAACTCACCCGAAGTCGGTTTATTTTGTTGTTGTTTTTAATTAATCCGCTAGTGCGACTTTCGCTTACCGTACAACGATGATACGGTATCAGCAGCGATAACCTTCGGTTCTAAAGGTTGATTTACTTTCAGCTTTTTGCCTGTAGCGAGCACCCGAACCGAACGATCGAATGACCATCGGCAATGACGGCATCGACGGCGGAAATCACTTGTCTAAACAACACCGCGGTCGATAGTCCACTGCGCCTGCTCCGGTCGGCAGGCATCTGCGCACCGTCTTCCTCGTCCGCCGCTTTAAACTGTACACGAGTCGGTCTGCGCTTTAAAGCGGTGGCTCGTCGCCGGTCGCCGCCGATGGCCGGGCGGTCCGTTTGCAGCTCCTGCTTTGACCGGTCTTGCATGATCGACTTCAGCATCACCAGCCAGACTCTTTGCAAGGGGACAGGGCCAGACGAAGGCGCCTTGAACTCGGTGCTGACCCTCGCCGGTCCTCGTTTTTCTGAGTCGACCACTCGCAGTTCGACCGACAGCTGGTCGTCGACGTATGAAGCAGCGGCGGCGACAGTGAACAAAAGCGGCGTAAAAAGATTTGACGACTTGAGTGCTTCGTCATCCATGGATCAGGCAAAGGCGAGAACGAAGGAAGTGGAGAGCGGAACCAAAGAACCGACGACACGGCGGAGTGATGGCGAAGACGGCGGTGGCCGGCAGTGCCACCTGGCCGGTTCTGACGCCGCAGCCGCTGTCCGTCGTCCTCCTTCGACCTTAAGCCTCAGCCACTCCCACGTCGGCTCGGCGAGG